TTTCACATCACTCACAACAATTTCGGATAGAAAATATCCTCGGTAAGTTCCGAATTTTTATTTGGGACGTGGCTGACGCCAGGCTTTATTTAAAAACGGAGTTATGGGCCCCACAACTTTTTGGAAGCATAACACACCGGTCAAGACCAATGTAACGGCACTTATTGAAACGTCTTAAAATTTTGTCTCAAACTTTCGCGCCGTCATGCCTCATTTGCTTGATTGTATCAAGTAGCGATTTTAATCACACTGAAGAACTCCTTCCTTTAATATGTCAGCTAAGTGTGCGTATGTTTAAATGATTTTTAAGTTGCTTGAGAGTCTATGCGATGTTTATTCATAAAGAAAATGCAGAATTCTTAGAGGGGACCACTTAGGTTAGCAGGTCGGTATTGCAGGTCTATCGGTTTTCTGTAGTCGTACAGCGTCGGTGCTTGCAAGAGTATCATCATGGTGCCAGAAAAGCACGCACCAGCAAAGATGAAAAGAAAAAGACGATCTAGCACCATAGCGACAAAATTCCAGTCTTCGTCGACCTCAAAAATTGATGAGAAAAGACATGAGTGGAGGCAGAGTACATACCTTGTCGTCGCGTTCATTGCTTTTGAGCAGTTCAGCTATGTATATGATGTTCTCGAAAGCTTGTACCACCGTAAAGCTTATTCCCTTCGAAACATCAGAAATGCTCTTAGGTTAACTTACTCACCTGCGGCGACTTGTACAGCTTCTGTATCCTTTCATCCACTGGAGCATCATTACTGAAGCGATGTACATGGTAATTCAAAGGAATTTTGCCCTCGAGCGATGTAAGCTCTAAAATAGAAGGCGCAAGTTTGTCAAAGCTGATTGCTGGAGAGACTCTACCCAAGTCCTTGTTCAAAGTAACGCTCTTTTTTGAATTATTCCTCTCTTCGACCCGTCGCATAAATAAAATTTTCGGTAGCCAGTTGAGAAATACGACTTTCACCCATTTTGGCATGGAATGGGTTTTCGGTGTCCGAAAGTGCACGTCCAATGCTGCAACACTGTCGATT